CTCATTTGGCGATAGCGGTTCATCACATATGTTGCACGCGCCCGCTCATTTGGCGATTCCCGTTCATCCTATATCTTAAACACACCCCCTCATGTGGCGATATCGGCTACACCGGTTCATCATATATCTTAAGCACGCCGCCCTCTTTTGGCGATTCCGGCTCCTCGTACGTGTTCAACATGCCCCCCTCATTTGGCGGTTCTTACTACTACTACTACTACTACTACTACTACGACGACGACGACGACGACGACGACGACGACGACTACTGCTCCTACTCCTACTGCTACAACTACTACTGCTGCTGCTGCTGCTACTGCTACTCCTACTCTAGTTGCTATGAGGATGCGAAACATGCACAGATCAACACGTTGCAAAAGGCACAGATCCGACAAACAAAATAAGGTAAGAATGAGTACCTTTCGCCTTTCCCCCCGTCGGCCCTCGGGCTCCCGTCTCCCGAGGTCCGGCATCGATCTCTGGAGCGTTAAGAACTCGGCCCAACAAACGCCCGGAGCTCAGAGCTTTACACACAGCCGCCGCAGCTTCCCTATGGCAGGCCGCTCCAGCTGGCCAGGGAGCGCAACCGAAAGGAGGCCGCCGCCGTGGGCGCCCAGAAGGCTGTGCAGACTTTCCTTCTGAGGTCCTTGCATTCTTGCAGAGGCGCAGGGTCGCAGGGCAGCCCGGTCCTCGCAGCTTCGGGTCCAATCTGGCAGGCCTAAAGCGAAGATCGCGAACGAAGCCAAAGCCGGAGCCGGGCAGAGCCAGCGGATTACAGCGGATTACCGACCCGTGGCCCATTTTGGGAGGCCGCCGCTTCACCATCTTCACAGTTTTCACAGCTCAGCACTCGAGAGGGAGCGAGGGTGGAGCCGAGCCAGCGGCAGTCCCCAGGCCGACACTTGACGCTGCCGGAGCCCTTTGCACTTATGATTGAGTCGCTTTAGGGCTTTCGCTTGCTGAGACACGGAGCTGAGCTGGGCCAGCTGGTCGCATGCTTGCAGAGGCAGACTCTGTTGCAGTCTTTCGGGCGGTCATGAAGGACGATGCGACCCAGGCGTTGGCATCGTTTGGACCATTATGTATGAATCCACGAATTCACGTGCTCACTTGGCTCCTCGTACTCAACTCAAGGAAAGCCCTTACTAATGTATACGGGGGGAGGGGGGTGCGCATGCCACAATACAACACCCCAGCCTCCAGAAATGTATTTCAGAAGAGGTCGTTCTTATAGAGGCCTACATGTGCATTAGTTTCCGACGATAGAACACTACTGAATGCCAGAGTGGCAGTTCCTGCAGGATGATCTCCGGGGTGCTCCTAGCAGGACCACCCCCGTAATACATATCTACGTGGTAAGTCTGGAGCTGGGATAGCAGTCGCTATGCAAAGCAGTCCTTAGGCCTAGGCATAGTCTGAAGTTCTTGCGGGACCCCCCCCTCGAGATCTAGCCTGGCCCTCTCGCAGAGTGTACACAGGCAAACGCAGGTGTGTCTTTTGCTACAGGCACACAGCTGTAGATCAGTATTTTGCTAGAACCTTGAGCAACAGGCATGGGTACATGCAAGTGACACGTGAAACAGACAGGCGCCTGGATGTGTAACTCAGTGTTTCAACCAGGCACAAATTTAAAAGCACGTAGAACTGCATGGCCGCGAAGACGGCTTTCTACATTGCGTGATATTGCCCAAGTGAATCAAGAGCGGAGTAAAACATTGAGCTACAAAGTGACTTGCGAATCTGTACATACTCAGCTTGGAGACAGCTTTCTGAACAAGCACACAAATTTAAACGGATCATAGGTTAAAGCTCTTGCTCAAAAGATTGCCCACATGTTCAATTCCCCTTTCCAGATGAAAAGCTTACTGCAAAAAGATGTAGAGCCTGGCTCCACTTGTCGCCAGCAGTGGCATAGATTTGCGGCTCAAAAGAATCGCGTATGTCTTGAAGTGGAGGCGGGGTTGAGTAAACATCCGAGAAGCGCGGTTCCTGTGTTTACTTAGGGCGGTTTTGGAAAGTGCTTGCTCGTCGCACCGCTTGCGCTCAAGCACACACCATGCAACAACAGCTTAGCTTGCTGCTGAGAAATTCTTTTCCTCGCCTTGCTGCATGGTTTAGCTTTGCTTTAAGTTACACGTTGTTTTTGTGTATGTTTCACTAGGTTTGTGAATCTATACACGTCTGCAGTGTATTGGCTCTAGCACTGGACTACTCGTGAGCAAAAAACCAGTGCATGGTAGTCTTCCAGCCTAGTTAGACTGCCTGCATCCTGCCGCCAGCGGCTCAGTCTCGCCGTGCCATGCCATGTGTAAGCCTAGCCTTGCCGGCTCCCCTTTCTTTGCCGTGTGCTCCCATGGGGAGTCGCCATCTCATGCCTCACGTGCAAACAGGAGTACCCGCTATTGAGGGGCTTGACTTGCCTATCGCCCAACACATTGCCCTCCATTTGTTTGTGTCAGCCTAAATGTTGATCAGGTCTGCCCTTCCATTGCCGCCTCTGCCCAAGTTCAGCCTGCCTTCAGCCACTCTTGGCCCCCCTTGTCAGTGTTATGGGCCAAGCCTCTCACTTTGACCAAGAAGGCTGGCAGAGGCCTTTGTCGGAAGAAAGCCTTCCCACCCCTGGATGCTGCAGGTTTCGCGCAGATACCACAAGATGACCTACGTTTTTTCCCCTCCAGTCAGGGACCCCTTCCAGCCTCAGCAGCCTCAGCCCCTCTCCCAGCCTGCCAGGCACAAACGACACGCGGATGCCTCAGCTTCAGCCTCTGGATATCCGACCTCATTTCATGTATCGTGCTGGACTTCGGGAACAAATAGCCTATCGCCCAAGAGAATTCCGCTTTGCCCTGTCAGGTCACAGCCTAACAGACTTCCTGCACGGAACTCAGCCATGTTCTTTACTTCTACTATCCCTACAGCCTCACGAATGGCGCGCTGTCACCCTTTGCACCATCGCTTGTCATGACCATATAGCCCAGCAAACTAGGGCCACAGCCATGCCTTTGCCCTTCCAGGTATGACTTCCGCCGATTTCGCCTCCGATGGGGCCCTATGCTTAGCCAAAGTCATGGTCTGCCTAGGAGCAGTATTTCGCGATAACCCCTGCCGCTTGAATCTGGAATATGGTCCAGAGCTATGATAGGGCGCTCAAGGATATCCTCAGAAACGTCGTGGACGAGCACCACGCCGACCTGGAGAACCTCACGTGTACCCTCCGCACACTGGCCAGGGGAAGGTTCGATGCGGATACCTGCGATGAGCTTGCTAGCTGTGTGTGTGTCTTTTGTGTCAGCTGTGTTTTCTAGGTAGTGACTGAATCGTGCCTTTGCTACATATCGGCTCTAACCTAGAACACACAGCTACACATAGGGCAAGGCATTGCCTTTCTTTTTCGCCTGTCCGAGAGACAGTACCAAGAGATCATTGAAAGCCGCACAACACGCACGCTCCGCTCTGAGGCGGCCTTTCTCAGCACCGCCCTTTTCGATGATACACCTGAGATGCCTGTGGATCATCTCCGCCTTAGCCCTGCATGGCTTGGACGCATCCAGACCATCTTTCGCAACGCCATAGCACTTTGCAAAGGAGCACACTTACAGCGTCTCAAGGCATATGATAAGAAAATTTTGGATTGGGCCACGCAGACGCCATCCGACGCTTCGCTCCGCACAGTTACTACCAGCGAACTTGTTTCCTCAGACAGAAAGCTCTGGCGCGAAATCTCCTCGCTCTGCTCCACCGGCTGGACACTCGACGATGCACTGCACGAAATGACACATGTCAGATCAGACATAGGCAACCTCCTGCAGTTTCGCGCACGGCCGCCAGCACCGCCACCGCGCCCACCGCCCCGCCTTGCCGATCCTCAGAAAGGCAAAACAGGCAAAGGAAAGTCCAAAGGAAAAGACAAGACAGGAGCCCCGCTCAACCCGGGCAAGCGCAGGCTCAGCAATTCAGATGGCGTGGCTACCGTCAAGGACAGCGACCTCATTAAAGAGCATGGCAATAAGACCTTTTGCATCCGCTTCAATAAAGGGGTCTGCAAGAACCAGCAATGCAAGTACTTGCACGCCTGCGCGTTTCGCTTGCCCAGCGGCGAGCCCTGCGGCAAAAATCACCCCGCATGCAAGCACCGCAACCCACAGGAGCCACCATCCTCGTGAACTGCGCAGCTGGCCGCAGCCGGATCCAGCCAGTTGCCAAGCCCACCTCCGGCAACTTCCCCAACTCACAGCCCTGCCTTGCCCCCTGCACCAGCACTTGCTTCTGGCCCTGCCTCGGCCATTCCACAGCAAAGCACTACTTGGAGACAAGCATCTCCTTCACGCAGCGAGTCCTGCTCATCTTCTCAGTCGTCCCTGCCGGACGCACCGCCTCGCTTCTTTATGCATTTGCAGCACCCAGACCGCCCTCGCAAGCTTAACGTGGATAGCCTTGCATTTGGTTCCAATTAAGGGTTGTGAATGGGATCCTAACATAGTCCCTCTTTTGACAAGCGCAGTCTGGTCCGGTTTGCTGGGTGCTCTGCTTCTAGAAGTTACATCTGCCACGCTCAGCCCGGCCGCACATCGCGTGGCACAATCCCTCGTGCGAGCAGCCCACCTGCAAGGCGCTCAGGTATGCTTCACATTCCCTACGCAGTGTGATCCGGACACAGAGTCCACATACATCCACTTATGCCAGGAACTGGCAGTTCACTGCATTCAAGCAACGCCTCCAAATGACACACAGTCGGTCATTCTCTGTTGCACTGACGGAAAAATCAGCCAGATCGCTGCTCACGCCGATGCCTGGGAGCAGCTTCACACTTTCCTGCAGCAGCACTGCACGTCGGGCATCGCCGACCCAGTGCCACTGCATCGCCTGGACAAGTTCCAGCCCAGCTGCTTCCTTCCCAAGCGCCCTGCAGTCTGTGATGGAGCCGGATTGCACAGTTCTGCAGATCACACTGCAAACAACATAAGTACTAAGCCTAAGCCCCTTCAACGACTGGCATCGCAAATGCTCGCGTATCTTAAGCAACATAACCTCATTGACGTTATATGCCAGCACTTGTCCTCCTCAGCAGAGGAGCCGCCCATCAGTGCCGAGCACGGCTCTGTTCTGGCTGAGCTTATCCGCATGGAACTCGCACCGCACTGCGAGCCTTCATCTTTTCACAGCATTAGTGCCGGGCAACCTTTCCGTTTGCAAGTCCTGCACTGCCTAGCACGAGCCATACAAGACAAAGACGCGGACCTTCCTCTCCTACTGGAGGACGGCGTGCCCACCGGAGCCTTTGAGCCGCTCCCGTCTAGTGGCCAGTGGGTGCAAGCTCAGTCATCGCTTGACTTTTCCGACGACTTCAGCCCTGCATCGCTCGAGCACTGCAGGGGGAACTGGCTCGCAGCAGAAACAAACCCCGAGATGCTCGCACAGCTCGTCCAAGACGAAGTGGACAAAGGCTTCGTCAAGAAATTCGAAGGCGACGAAGCCCAAGCAGCATCGCACTGGCCCAATGGCACAGCCATAGGAAAACTTAATATCGTTCTCGCTGAAGGACGGGACCCCCGTTTAGTCCTCGATAGTTCTATTTGTGGTTTAAACAAGGCTATACACCTGCCAGAGCATGTCGCACTGCCTACTGCCTCTGATGTCCAGCGCACATTCCTTGCCGGAGACTGCTATCGCGCACTCATAGCCCTCTCGCTGGATTTTAAAGCGGCACACAAGTGCTGCAAAGTGCGCTACTCGGACCAAGGCACTCTTCTTTTCCGGCTTGGCAATGCACTGTACCATTACACAGTCTGCCACTTTGGCGCCCGCTTCTCTGC